TCTTTATTTAAACATTTGATGAATATTTACTTCATTTTGGGTATGTTCTAGGGTATCTCCATGCCAGAGTTAAAGGTCAAATTTTGGATAGGTTTCTGAACAAGCGCCGTAGGTTTCTACTCTAGGCCTACCCATCATATTATTTTTGTTTCAATTTGGGTGGCTGTCGCAAAAGGAAATCTTCCCAGGGATGGCAGTATCTCTGGTTACGCCTAAAGAAAAACAAAGACAACAAAGACATTAATCTCAAGTTTGATCTACCCGAAAGGCCGGGCCGAAGTCGACGTGGCATTGCAATTGCATTCTATCGGGCGCACCAAAATACAGTCCCATCACCCGATAATAGCGTCTGCTAGTGTGCAATCAAACCTCCTTGCTTACCGAAATTCACGACAAAGCGGTCTCCTGATTCGACCAACATGTTGAATTCATCCTTTGTGAGATACTTGGGTTTGACGTCAACCTCGGCGGAGTCATCCTCATTCTCATCAACCATCTCATCAACCTCCGACTCGTCAACATCTTGAAGATGAGCAACGCTCAGCAACATCGACAACACAACGCAAAGAACGAGACAACTCTTGGAGGACGACATCTTTACACGCACTAACGTGATTGAATAACACGTTTCAGCGCTAACGATTGGGGCCTAGCTTCAGCTTAACAAACTTCGTCAATGAGTGATTTCAAGTTGGGTGTTTAAGGCTGGTGTTAGTGTTTAATAAACACTAACACCAGCCTAAACACCGAAATGGAAATCAGCTGGTGTTAAGGCTTTGACCTCTGAATACCGTCAACTTCCGGTAGCTAGTGTTATCGATTTTGCAAAATTGTCGTCTGCTGAACTGACCTTTGTGGCTGGTGTTAATATTTTACATACAAATGTCCTATTCACTAACACTAGCCCCTAGGGATTAAGCAAATGTTGATTTCCAGTTCGGTGTTAGTGTTGTACCCGCGCACATTCAACGCACGAACGACGCCAATTTATTGTCTGACGATCAAATAAAAATATGTGAAACACGTAATTCCTATATTCTTTCGTGTAAAATTAGTTATTTTCTAAGACCAGAGAAATAGATGTAAATTTATTCTGTACTTTTCATGATATCTTTAGTTTTGATGTACTATTTTTAAATCATCGTCGTAAAATCAAGTATGTGGTGACGTCACGGCTGGTGTTAAGCTATCGATTTTGATATTGGTATCGGGCTCTTAATTTCATCAGCAAATTCTCCGCTCGATTTAAGAGCTCTTGACTGCTCTAAACACTAACGCTAACACTAACACCAAACTTGAAATCACTCATTGTATAGTTTCCTTCATTGAATCTGGAAACCATAAATTTAGCTGTGTACTGTAACGCTAAACAGACAAAAGAAAAGAAAAAATGTGGGTTGTATATCAACCCTGATTCCTTCTTCTTCTTCTTCTTCTTCTTCTTCTTCTTCTTCTTCTTCTTCTTCTTCTTCTTCTTCATTCCCTATCCTTCTTCTTCTCTTTCTCCTTTTTTTTCTTTTTCTTTTTGTTCTTGTTATTGTTCTTCTTTTTTTCTTCTTCTTCTTCTTCTTCTTCTTCTTCTTCTTCTTCTTCATTCCCTATCCTTCTTCTTCTCCTTATTCAATTGTTTTTGTTTCAAGTTCTCAGTTTTCTTCTTCTCTTTCTCCTTTTTTTTTCTTTTTCTTTTTGTTCTTGTTTTTGTTCTTCTTTTCTTCTTCTTCTTCTTCTTCTATTTGTTCTTTTTCTTCTTCTTCTTCTTTTCTTCTTTTTCTTCTTTTTTTCCTTCTTCTTTTTGTTCTTGTTTTAGTTTTTGTTCTTCTTCTTCTTCTTCTTCATTTCCTCTCCTTCTTCTTCTCCTTCTTCAGTTGTTTTTGTTTCAAGTTCTGTTTCTCCTTCTCTTTCTCCTTTTTTTTCCTTTTTGTTCTTGTTTATGTTCTTCTTTTTTTCTTATTTAATTCCTTTTTTTCCTGGCTTCTTCTTCTTCTTCTTCTTCTTCTTCTTCTTCTTCTAACTATGCTCTAAAAAATGTTTGATGTGATTTTTCCTTTACTATAGAGAACTTTTCATTTTGTTTGAATAAAAAATGTAGGCCCACTGCATGGAAGTTAGAGTTGGAAAAGTGAATTCTAATCGAACAATGCATAACAAAAGTATTATATAGATCTAATTATTTACGCTCCAATTTGTAGCCGTTTTGTCAAAGGAAAATTATTTACTAGCCCTAAAGCAAAAAAGCAAGGTTCGTGGTATTTCAGCACAACATTTGTTTGTACTTAGGGCCACTCTTCCCATTTCTCTCCGATGCTAGCTAGGGATGCCCCTGGATATTTGACTAGTTATGAGTTAAATGAGGGTCTGTTAATGATTCTCTTTCACGTTGCAATGGCGATATTGATCACACGGATGGTTTAATGAAACATTATGTGAGAAAGTCGCATATTGTGAGTAAAATGATATTGTAATGAATTTAATACAAACATTAATACATATTGAATGAATTCAATAAAGCACACTATTCCTTTTTCTTTCTCTTTTCTTCAATTTGTTGTTTGTTTGTTTTTTAATTAGGAGAGAAACGGCAAAAGCACCAATCATGCCTACATTATGATCAACAAGACAAAATGTTTAGAGCCATATCTTGTTAAAATTGTATAGCGCGGCCGACCGCTTGCATAAAATAAGAGGTCTAGCGCCATCTTTTGTTTAAAACATTACAGAGTGGAATGCGGATTGTTTTGCATGCGTGCTTTAATTTAGTCCACTATCTGGACTGTTTTCTATTCGTATATCTTATCCATGCAGTTGGCAGAAGCGGATCTAGAGGGAGGGGGGGGGGGGGGGGGTTGGGGGGGTTGCAACCCCCCCAAAAAAAAAAAATCCGGGGACCATTTTTTTAAATCTTATCTTTTTTTTAAAACTTGTAATTTTATTTTATTCTATTTCTATGTATTTATTTCATTTATTTCATTTATTATTATTATTATTATTATTATTATTATTATTATTATTATTATTATTATTATTATTATTATTATTATTATTATTATTTCTTTTTTGGGGGGGAGGGGGGGGGGGTTGGGCGAACAAATGTCACATAGTCCCTTGCCCCCCCCCCCCCCCATCAGCTTTTTTGAGGACACGGGCCACCGCCGAAGTGACAAGCTAGGCCATTCTCATCCCCAAAATCCCCACATTAAAATAAAAAAAAAATTGGGGGATTGTTGAAGTCTTTGGGGATGAAAAATAAATATTTGGGAATGAAAATAATATTGAGTTTTATGAAAAACGAATTTGGGGATTTTCTGTCAAAATTTGGCAACTTTGGGGATATTTTAAGTGTCGTTTGGGTGGGGATTTTGTGAAGATTTAACCTGGCAACGCACGCTGAGCTGGGCTGCTCATTTCCTGGATTACTTGTTCAAGTTGCTCACTTTTTTATCAGTCTGGTCTGAGTGTAGTGACAAGCAATATGGAAGCAAACAGACCCCCCTTGGGCGGCCCAAAAAACAAAAAAAACAAAAGGGGGAAAAAAAGAAGAAAAAAAAAGAAAAAAAGAAAGAAAAAAGAACGCACGCTGGAGAGAAACCCTTTCAAGTGCAAATATTGTGAAAAGATATTCAACTCATCTGGTAACTTAACCAAACACATGATAACTCTGGATATAACTGTGTATTTAACTGTTACTTGATTTAAAAAGACGTTATCATGCACTGCTTTTTATGGTCTCCATTGTGTTAATAGATGCCAGGAAAACATCACTTACGGGGTTCACTAAACACCCCTAAAAAAATCGGCTCGCCGCTTCGCGGCTCGTGGACGATGCTCCGCATCGTCATTATTGGTCAACCCCCCCCTTAGCAAAAAGCTAGATCCGCCCCTGAGTTGGCTAACATATATTACATGTTCGAATTTTATTCAAAACGTTTAACGAAAGCTTGCATGATTTTGATAATAATTGCAACGTCTATCAAAAGAAACATCACCTTTTCATGACAAAATACAAAGAATATTTTTCGTCCCGTGTTCTTAAAAAGTCTTATAAAAAACTAGTTTGAAAAGCATTCCCAACCATTATCTACATCCATATAATCTTGCTTTTAAAATCACTTTATTCACCTATTTTGAATTGACTTTCAACTTTAATTGCAAAACTGAAAATTGTATATGGATTTTTAAAAATAATAGTATTAGGCGCGTTCGCTCAGTGGTAGGGCAGTGCATGGTCTCGTAATCGAGAGGTCCCGGGTTCGAAATCAAGTCAATAGGTTCGCGCCCTCTAATAACAAGGTAGCCTACCTGATATATACACGGTAATTTTCATGGTCCCAATGTCCCCGTAATGAGAAGTTTCCATTATGTTAAAAATAATTTTTCTATGAATGTCTAGAGTTCAACAATAACAATTAAACAGACCCATTTTCGAATAAACATGACGCCGATCCGATGTAGACCCATTCACACTCAATACCCCCTCCCCCCCCCCCCCCCCCCCTCCCCCTCCTCCTCCTCCTCCTTCTTCCCACCTCCACGTTATACTTATAGAAAATAAAAATTGAAATAATTAAGAGAAATCTTAACCTGAGTTGACTCAGGAGAATAGGTTTAAATGTTTTTTTCTTTCTTGTATTTATCCATCGCCTAGAAATTTAGTGCGGCCTGCTACCGGTCCCCCCCCCCCCCATAAAAAACAACAACAACAAACAAACACAACAACAGCAACAACATGATAACAGGGTTTTCATATTTTCAAGACTCACCACTTATCTAAACAAAATTAATGTGAAATGGCGCAATATAAGAATGTTTTTCTTTTGGAAGAACAAAGTCCATATAGATCTCTGCTTTACCTTGTCTCTTGTACTCTCTTTAATATCTCTATTCAATTAAACCAGTAACCCGTGGAGAAGGGTAATAATAAAGGATTCTTCGTTCCACGTTCCTTTGCAAATTCCGCACAGCAAACGTTCACATCACAGAGTATATACACAGCAACGAATGTACAGTGTGTGAGTGTGTATGGACTATAATACCTACCTAGGCATACAGTTATTCGCTGTGCTAGTGAGAGCAGAAGAGAACATACTGTGGATATATCCTGGGTGTATAATCTTGTTGTCGCAAAAGGTAAGGCATGCATCTATTTTTTATACTTTGTCGTGAATGTGATGAGCATGATCATGATGTATTATTCCATACAGTAATTATACCATTATTAGGAATGATAATGGCGAAGTGAGATGTGAATGCGATATGGGCGCCTGAGGAATTGTTGAAATGCAATCCTTTTCAAGAGCTCTATTCTCTCTCTCTTCTTCCTGGTTAGGTTGCTTCGTGTTTTATTTACGCTGTCGTTTCTTCATTATAGCTTTTCGATTGCTCTTGTGATGATAATATGATAATGAACATGACACCAGTGTGCTGTGTGGTGGGATGTAATATATAGACTGTTTGCATTTAATCCATAATAACAGGAAGAGTTCATTTACCAGGCTCAGACAACTGAAATAGCATGGGTTATACATTCTAGAATAAATTATGAAGCTATGGAATTAAGGCAATGCATGTTATACTGGTGTACGATGTTCAGTGTCGATTTACATGGCATACTTCCACTTCTACTTCTATGACGATACTCGGTAGGATACATAATAATATCCATATCATCCACTCCTATGCTCAGTAATTAATCTGCACTCCTAATCACCCTTTCAACAGTATTTCCTTCACTTGCAGGTACTATGTAGCTAAAAGCCAGAGCGATAATAATTGTTTGAATGCCTTGATATAATATCGATTTGTTCCCTTCTAAACTATTATAGTAGAGCTACATGTACATAGGCCTAAATTAATTATGTATGATATTTTATTAATATTGCGGTTTTAAAAAAAATATATAGGCATATGAAACGTGATATGTAGAAAATTAAGTGCCCTCCATTTTATGACATTTTTTTGTTTAAACAAAAATTGTTCTGACACTAGGGCGGTTTGTCTTTTATATACCCCGTGTGGCTTATTAAAAAAAAGAGTTTAGTGTTGACTTATTTAGTCATATCAAGCGAAGGGATTGACTGTTTTGTTCAAATTTGCTTTCCTCCAACTCATACACCATCCGGGCATTCATGCATGAGATCACTTCAAAGTTTTCAATAGACTCGTTAATCTAAAAACATGTTTTCTTCAATGAAAAGCCCCTGAATAAACAGAATTACTTAATAGAAAAACGGAAGGGGAAATTGTACACATTTTGTGAAGAAATTTGACAATACTTTTTATAGCAAGTATTTGATATCTGTACCGCAATGTGCCATGTGATTTTAACTGCATGGAACATAATAATTAGTATCGCCTGTATACACACATCAATGAGCTCTTCATTGATATTAGTCATAATGATTTTCTGGCACCCTGAAACATTTGTGGGATGTTGGCCTAATTGATTCACCTGTCACGTAGACAGTGAGAAACATTATAATGAGTCATGAGTCGCTCAACATTAAAATGTCTGCCAGAGGGGAATGCAGCGAAAAAATGCAGAAAATGTCGAATGACGAGACTCTCTCTCTCTCTCTCCCTCTCTCTCTCTCTCCGTATATTCTTTCAATTTTATCAGCAGAGCCAAAATAATTTCTTATCAGTATTATCATCGTCTGTTCACTGCTCAATACGCGTTTCTATCTGACTGTCCAATCTTTTGGTGCCTTCGATACATTTGAAAATGTTTCCAAATCAATGTAACAATCTATAGTGTATCATTCTTTACCAGAAAATCCAGATCTTATTAAAGGAAGATGGCGAGCGGAGATAATATGGAGGCGGTCGCGGCCTCAATGAACCGGATGGAGAAACTATTGGAAAAGATAGAAGACAACGGACGAACAGAAGATGTGGTGCACAAGAAACGTACGGATGGACACAAGGTGAGATAATATCATTCAGTCCAACCTCTTGACCTAACAAATTGTTCAGTTCAACCTTCATTATAGACCCTTGAGCTAACTGTCTAGCTCAGTTTAAAGAGAAGATTGAGTTTCGGTATAGATGAAAATAATGTGTGAGCTTTCATTATCTTTTTTTATATTAGTTTGGAAGAAAATCATAGAGGAATTAATCTTCCCGGAAGAAGATTGTTCTATCTAAACGCGCTCGTATTCGAAATATGACGAAAACGAACTGAAAAGTTTGTACCGAGCTTTTGTGTATGTAGTCCACTATACCCAAAACTGGTGCTCGTGAACTTTTGCTATATTGAGTCAATCACTCTTAATTTTTGTAATTCCAAAACTTCTTATATAATGTTACATTGCATCGACATTCCACTAACATTCATTACTTACTGACAGTTCCTTTGACAATCTAATCGCTCATCACTCTTCTGATTCCAGGCGCGGATCTACGGGGGGGGGGGGGGGTTTAGGGGGTTCAAACCCCCCCCCTTGGGCGGCCCAAAAAAAAACAAAAAAAAAAGAAAGAAAAAAAGAAAGAAAAAAGAACGCACGCTGGAGAGAAACCCTTTCAAGTGCAAATATTGTGAGAAGATATTCAACTCATCTGGTAACTTAACCAAGCACATGATAAAAAGGATGGATATAACTGTGTATTAAGCTGTTACTTGATTTAAAAAGACGTTATCATGCACTGCTTTTTATGGTCTCCATTGTGTTAATAGATGCCAGGAAAACATCACTTACGGGGTTCAAATAAACACCCCCAAAAAAATCGGCTCGCCGCTACGCGGCTCGTGGACGATGCTCTGCATCGTCATTATTTTGGTCAAACCCCCCCCCCCCCTTAGCAAAAAGCTAGATCCGCCCCTGGATTCATCTTTAAATTCAAAAGTTCTGGGGACACATTGAAGGGTTTAACGTACATAGAATGTTTCCTTGTCTAATTCGAAATGAAAATAAAGAATGAATGTATGATGTCACTGTTTTCACTGACAACTTTTGATATTACTTGCTGAGGAAACAAATGAAATATTGTACCAACAATGTGAATAATTTCATGATTAAGATGGATTTCATGACTGCATTGAATGATTTAAGTGCAATCCATAATAATATCATCATCCTATATGTAACCTCAGCTGGAAAGAGTCACGTTTCTTGGCTCCTTCCAAATTTCGCCCATTTCCCGAATCCAACTTTTTCTCTTCTCTTCTGGCATATTCTTTTTCATAACTCAAAAATTGCGCAATCACTCATGACTCATTCATATGACTTGAAGCGGTTGTTATGTTCTGATTATGCCCTGATTATGCCCTGTTACGTTACTTGAAGAATTATGATCCGTGGGCGTTTTGGTATGCATCAAAAACCGCATTGACAAAGCCCACTATACACCCACGAGGATTCTGTAAGTAGATTAAATAGAAAGCAGCAACAAGTCATTTTCCTCAGTACGTCGTCACACCGAGATATATATTTTTTCTTTCTCCAGGAACGTAAACAAATGTATTGCAATATGTTCAGTGAATATAGGGCTAACAATCTGTCAAGTGTACAACTTTACAAACTTTTCTAATTAAATGCGCAGCAAGAAACAAAGATGCTTGGGGCCTGTGGGCACAATAATTAGCAAAGGGAGCTGAATACTTGTCATATAAGGTTTGTAACGAGCGAGCGAAGCAAGTTTATTTTGTTCTAAACGGAACATTAAAATAATAAACAAACGTCTCTGCTCACATTGATTTAAGTTCAATCCAATTTTATTCTTTTCACAATTCGATACATATGACAATGAACATACAGAACAACCATTAAATGTAGTAAAGGTATAAATAAATTCAACTACAATTAAAGGTATAGTACAACATTTAAACAGATAAAATAACAAAAAAATATCAAACTGTGAAGGAGTGAACTTAGGCCAAAGGCCTTTCACAGGCTTGTCCCCGGAATTATATACATAATAATATGCAATGTACTTGAAAAGAATTACGAATAGTTTAGGCACACGCACACATAACCACGCACGCGCACACTCAAGAAAAAGGAAAGGGCAAACAATGAATATTTTATCAGTGGGAGTAAGACTTAATCAATTCATTTTTATATTTCTTTTTAAAACTTGACAGAGAAAGACATCTCTTTCCCGGATCTCTTTATTTCAGACTCAAGACAATTCCATTACTCTGGAGTCTTTGGACCACTAAATGTGATTGTGGTACGAGCAAATGCATGGGCCTACTTAAATTCAGGAATGCGAATATGACAGGACTCTCTAGTAGAGTATGGAACAAGCAAACAATTTTCATGAAAAATAATCATCTACAAACTTCAGCAGCAAAATGTAAAAGTACGAAAATATAAAATTGACTTTTTTTCAATTTGTGTATATCCTGAACTTTTAACTGACTAACTTTATGGAAATAAGAGATTAGTGTGTGAAATGCAAATGAGATGACAGTTGCCATAAATAGCTAACGATTGCGCGATTATTTATATTTTCAAGATAGGGGGGGGGGGGCACCGCCTAATGCCTCTGTGGGTATTAACGCGGCACTGCATGTATTTCCATGCTTTGGTATAATTTCCTGTTCGCCCATAAGATTTTCATCGTTATTGTTGTGTGATGTTTGCTGGTTGTGTCAATATACGCGACCATAACAAATGCGGGATCATTCACACTAGAGCCTATTTTTATGTACTTAAAGGTATACTGTCGGATGAGAGTAAACATCATCACCATCGGAGACATTGATACCATCAGGGAGGAGTTTACATGTGAACTCGCCCTTACTGTCAAATGGAAGGAGCCTGCTCTGAAGGGAATGAAAGCAGAGGTAAGTTATACCGTGTTCATATTGTATACCTTATTACATGTCATACATGTCATTATCGGCTCGTTTTTCTAGTGTCAACAGTTTGGATTCTATCTGCGCACCTTTTTTTTTTTGATGACTTTTTAATGATGACTTTTTTTTTTGATGACTTTTTAATGAGAAATACAGATATATATTTCGTTAAGGATAATCAAAGAATTGGGGAAAGCGAGGAGCGTGATAAAGCGCTTAGAAAATTATTTACACGAAAAATGAGAAAAACAGGATTCTAGAAGATCAAATGAAGGTAATTAAATAGGTGATACAAGAGGAAATATAATAATGACTGATAAGTTGGGGAAATTGAAGAAATTAGTAAAAATTAAGAAGTTCAAAACTCTCCATACTGACAGATCCTGGAGTGAGACAGAATCCATAGACACCGGGACTTATACTGTTAACATGTTATTTTTTAAAAATTAATATTTCTCTTCTTCATCATCATCTTCTTCTTCTTCTTCTTCTTCTTCTTCTTCTCTTCTTCTTCTTCTTCTTCTTCTTCTTCTTTTCTTCTTCTTTCTTCTTCTTCCTCTTCTCCTCCTCATCCTCCTCCTCGGTAGGACATTGATTGGGGTGAACAATGGGACCCAAGGATCTATTTCTTCAATGCCGTGAGCACCGATAAGTACGAAGTAAAGAGACGACTTGGTCTCAAATCACCAGACGATGACGAAGATGATCCAGTACCCGATGCTCAGCTATCAATCAGAATGAAAGGAGTCTTCAAATCAACTATGAAACTGAATGAGTTTCCTTTCGATTACCAGGTAAAAAAAGAGATTGATGATGGTCGAAACAAAGAACGATAATTTTGTCCTGTTTGTATATAATAACTTCTGATTAATGGATAATACAGGGCAGATCCAACCTCACGAGGAAAGGGGGTTAGCAAAACTATCGGGCGTCAACATCCCCCTGAATAATTTTCGGGACTCCCGCCGGTTTTCTCCAATATTATAACAATGTGTAGCCCTAATAATAGTGTAATTTTCACAAGTTATTATTTTCAATATCGTATATGGGAGAGGGGGAGGGCTGCGGCTGTTTAATGGACATTCCGGGTCCGCCTCTGTAATACATATCCAAATGCTACACAGCCAAATAGGTCTTCCAAACTAAACTCTTTCGGAAATATATAAAATTCCATAATCATATGTGTCATATTTTGATACATTGACATCATGTCGGGAAAGTTGTCTATTATTCAATAACGTATAAACACAAAATTATGTTGAACTTTCATTGACATTAAATCATGCATATTTAAATGGTAATGTGAATTTACTTTTTTATTTGAAGAATCTGACGATCAAAATCATGTCCGACTGGCCGAGGAAAGTAACCGAATTCTGCAAGGATATGAGCCAGAAGGACAGTGTCAGAACAGATACATTCACAGGTGAGAACATAGAAGAAATACACAGGATATAAGTATGATAGAATAGAGATGAGTTTTGAAAATTTAAAAATGGACCGGGAAGGTATCAATGTAGAGAGATTGAAGAGAGAATCAGAGAGATCCAGAGAGGTCGGAGGGAGGAGATGGGTAAGAAAGAGATCGATCGGCAAGAAAGAGATCGGCCAATAGTTTTGCAGGAGTTGTACGAGGGATGTGTGCATGTGAATGTTTAATGAACTATTGTCAAAGAATATTAAGAGTGGAGACAATATTTCTCATAATTTAGATAGTATTTTGACAATCCGACAACGCTATTGCTATGAATTAAGATTAGTGTTGGATCCGGGATTGATGATAAGAATTCGGTCCTCAGGGCAATAGCGGCGAGTGCCACTAGAGCATGTCATGCAATCATCTTTTCACGCAAGATTTTAGGGAAGAATGAATTACAGAATTATTAACTCCGATGAGATCAACACAATTATTATGTGTCATTATCACCATGAATTATAAATTTCTTAAATTTGTGATATTTTCGCTTCATTTTTGTGGCAAACAGGTGAGCAAGAATGGGAACTACAGAAGCATGTAAGCGCGCATCAGGTAGAGGAAGAGAAGATGACGTCAGGAGCAGTGAACGCTTACCCACTCTACAACGTGGTCGTGAATGTGAAGCGAAAGGCTAGTTATTACATGTGGAATGTAGCCCTCATCATGGTATGTCGACGGCTACTTCATTCATCATCATCTTTTTTGTTTTATGTCAGCCAGTTTTTAAATGTGATGCATGCTGCTTATTATAATTCATATTCTAAAACTGATATATTAAGTTTTTATACGAGGCGGTTCTTGAAAATGGTGGATGGTGTGCGCTTAACGTAAGACTTGTCGCTCATTAAAGTGAAGTTCTCTCTTGTTGGTATATCACCCGTTTTCTGGTAAACACCTGAAAGGTGTCAAATTCCCCATGAGAAAAACGTCAGTCTACCGAGTGAGTCAAAAAAAAGTTTACACCTAGAAAATTGCTAATTAATTTTAAAATCATCTATGAACAGTAAATTATTATACATCTTATGAAAGAGTGTTTTATCCCAAATCATTTGGTACCATTTTTGTGTGGTTTGTGTTCACGCTTGGATGAACAGGTGACATTGTTTGCGAGAGTGCAAAAATCGACTTGCGCCAAAATGATGCCTACAGTATGTATTATGTTGGGATTAGCGGAGTGAGAGAATGGATTGAATGTATCAAATGAAATGCATTGCATATGGTTTTTGCAACGGGCAAAGTCACATACACCCACACACGCCCGCACAAATGTTCGTCGATATTTAATATTCGATATTTGATATGTGTGGCATGATTAATTTTGTTAGGGATGTTATTTGGATCTGCAAAGACCGAATTAATACCCAAATCCCAATTGTTTTATTCAAACATCACACAGGCAACTTTGGCGCAAGTCGATGTTTGCACTCTGGCAAACAATGTCTCCTGTTCATCCAAGCGTGAACACATACCACACAAAAATAGTACCAATTGATTTGGGATAAAACACTCTTTCATAAGACATATAACAATTTAATGTTCATCGATGATTTATTTTAATAATTAGTAATTTTCTAGGTGTAAACTTTTTTTTGACTCACACTGTATAGAGATTCAAGTAATTACACGTTATGAAACGATGGATTGTTTAACTGTATACTTTAATAATACAAACAGGGAATGAAGTTAATTTCTATAACGTTTTTAGTTGTTCTGTGCATTAATAACTAGATGATATTGTAGTTTGGAACCCACATCGTTTATAAGTATTTCAAGGCTACAAAGTATATCACGTTAAGCACAAATCTTAATGTTATTGTTGATCTATCAAGCTGAAGACAAACGACATTCCCTATTCATTTGGTTATATACATGTACGTTCGATACAATAAATTTGCCGCCGAAGCTCCTTGAACTTGGTAAATTCATTCTATATACAGCAGCACGATACTAAGTTGTTCTCAAATATCATTAGGGCTCCATGTTATGAATTTTCTCCATACAATGTGAAACCAATCCGAAAGTAGTAACGAGGTCGATGGCAATTAGACATTTGTAATTATAAACTCGAAGTATTGTATCATTATGATTCGGTTTCCTGTTATTCCTCATCCATTAAAATACTTTAGTTTACATCATCGAATCTTCTTTCACTTTTCAAGATATTGCTGGATATTTGGGCATATTTATTTTCTGTTTCAGTTCCTGATCACTCCTCTGGCTTTCACATCTTATGCTGTCAGTGCAGACGCACCCGAGGATAGGTTAAGTGTAACGTTAACACTGCTTCTTACCGCTGTCGCCTTCAAGTTTGTTGTGTCCCAGAGTCTACCCAACACATCATACCAAACGCTTCTCGTAAGTTATATCAGGAGGTAGTTGGTGGTAGCTACATTAATATGACTATGAGTGCTTTCGCGATATTAAGTTGTTCAACAGATAATCAAAATGTTTGATATGCCGGTACATAATTATAATTGTATAATTTGTATGTTGATTTAAAAAACAAACATTATTTATCCTCTCATTGACAGACTTGATGACTGATTGACTTTTTTCAAAATGATGATATAAAAGTCATGACATTGCAAAACAACAGTGTAACCAATTTAATTGCAGAAGCGAATCAGAAAGAAAGAGAAAGGGAGGGAGGAAGAGAGGGGGAGAAAGAAAGAATTTGAAAAAATACCCTTATATTACTTTAAATTAAATCTAACTAAATCAGTAATTATTAAGGCAAAAAAAATTGTTTGGTTGTCCTCGATTGCTTTTCTGGAGTAGGTGCGGGCGGGCGGATTTTTTTTTTTTTTTTTTTTAAATATTTTTTTTCCATAAAAAAAAAATAATTGGGATTGTCAAGCATTTAAACAAACAAAGTCTATAAAACACTTTAATATGGTAAAAGACTAGTTTAATGTACAATGAATATCAAGACCAACACAGAAAGTATTTTGGGCTTTAAAATACAGCACCTTTTAAATCTCCATTGTACTATGTATAGCTACTTGCGCCCTCTATGTAGCAAACAATGCCTAATCGGTGACCATTGGTCCCCCATGCAGATCCTCTTTATCTTATATTAACTAAGAGCTGATTTGATGAGATAACCACCTGTCCAGTGACCTTGTAGGGTGGTCTAATCCCTCCTGTAAACTAGTACAGATGGGCTTTGAAATGAGTTTAAGAATGCTCAGAACCTGATTTGAATGAACGGCATTTTGACATTTTTACCTAATTGCGTACTGAAAAGACAAAAATGGCAACGGGACGCATTTTGATCCTTGCAAATGCATAAAATGGTATGTTTGGCATTTAAAATTGCTCCCCCCCCCCCCCCAAAAAAAAAAAAAAAAAAAATTGAATTGAAAAAAAAAAAAATGCGAGCGGCCCGAAAATGACGAGCGGGCGGTCGGGGACAAACAAATATTTTTTTTTGTTGGCCTAATATTAGTAGTAGTTGTGGTAGAAGTAGTACAGTTGCGTTATCATTATTATTATTAGAAGTAGTAGAAGTACTATTATCATTATTATTATTATTGTTATTATTACATTATTATTATTATTATATTAGTAGTAGTAGAAGTATTATTATTACATTATTATTATTATCGTGTTTTTTGTAATTTATTAGTACATTTTCATTGTTATTGTCATGCCTCCGCCACCGAAGGTGGTACACAAGAATTATGTTTTCTGGTTGTCCTTCCGTCCCGTTTTTCGTTGCCAAGATAACTCAAGAACCATTGAGCGGAGTTTAACCAACCTAGGATCAAGTACGTAATAGCATACAAGCATAATTTATGAACGGATGAGATTCTAGGTGAAAGAGGTCAAAGGTTAAAGGTCACATGGTCATGAAATTGTTAAAAACTGCCAGAAAATATGTCGTTACCGTAATACATTAAAAAGCATTCAAGCGATTCAAACCAAACTCGGATGTAAATAATGTTAATGAACTGATTAGATTTTGGACGGAAAAGGTCAAAGTGTCATAAAATTGGCAACAGAAAGTTCTTGTTACCGCCATAGAATTATTGAAAAAATGTATACCAGTCAATGAACATAGAGGTGAAGGCATATTAGAGACGAAATCGCATTCATTTTGTTATTATTCTTATGATTCATTCCTATACAGGATTACTACGTGCTATGGTGTATGATGTTCTTGTGCCTTGTTGTAGTCCAGAATGCCGTGGCTTCTTTGTTCTCAAGTGATAAGGTTTGGGAGCACTTTGATTTACCATCTCTCTGTGTCCTTGGTGGTTTAACCGTCCTTGTCAACATCATCTTCATCATTATCTCGTGCTATAAGGTGAGTAGCCATCAAAACCTGATCGACCATCATTAATGAAGGAAGACTCCCAAACTTATGTATCCTTGTAGCACTAAATAATTGATAGCACATAATTATTCATTACCTTGATGATGGTTCAATGCTATTTCGGTTTTATTGTTGTTTTTTAAGAATATGGCAATAGTCCGGAGTCAGGTGTTGTCAAATTTACATTAAAATACAAGAAAACATTTTAACATGTTATAAATTGTACATTTACATAAAATTATAGTAGTTCAATAACAATTAAAAAGAAGAATGTGACTTCATGCATTAAAAAGATAATGTTAAACAGTAATTATTATTATGTTGATTTCAATTGGATATATTTTTATTGGACTAATGGTACAATGGAAGCCAGTACTATAAAAATAAAAACAAATGTTTTATGTAAAAAAAAAAGTTCATTTATAACAATAAAAATGGTGATCTTCTTACCATATGGTAACATCTATTTTCCCAAATCAATTTTATTTCCCTCTCCATGCAGTCCCGCAAAGTTGGTCACCAGATGCAGCAAGCCACCAGCAAATACAATGTAAGTTTTCTTCTGTGTCATTTTTGTTGTTGCCAATTTTTGTCGTCTAGTTTTTGAGATCTCATAATTTATGATTAAAATGTCATAATTATGATTTAGACATGTACGTTATAATATTCTTGAAGTCAAAATGTGATCTTGTAGGTAAAGTTGCTTTCATAAGTGAAACATATGAATCTCGTTCTTGAAAACAGCTTTCCAACATTGTCCTTTATCTATTTTGAACTTATAGGATCTCTGTGAAGAGATTAAGAGCAACAAAGGACGAAGCAGGAACTACAAGGTAGGTTGTTATTATTAGTCATCGTATAAGTCATTGCTACCTCAGTCACACGCTAAACCGAACCATTCTTGATCATTTGAAGTTTAGTAATGTTATGTTCCGCTGCTGCTTGCCATGCAGGAGCCGGTCTGGTTCGCATGACTGAGGTTTAAGAGACGGTTATGTATTAATGTTGACGATATTCTCGGAATTTTTCGATTTAAACTAGAGGTAAAGAGTTGCTTTTGTTTAAAAAGAATTGAAATAAATTCGAGAGAAAAGTACTCGGATGGTCTGTCTTATTATAAGCACTTAATGTTGATACATAAGCCTAATTTGAATTATTCAAGGCATTACTAGAAATCGTATTTACGTCCCGTTGACTTTGAATGAATGAAACATTACAGCTTCATCACTCATTCCCGTTGTTATAATAGACCTACCATTTTGTATTTATATAGTTCATGTCTTATTTTATGTGTATATATAATATATATATAATATATATATAAATACAACTTGAACAGATTAATGATTACATGTACAGTCATGTAACACCATTAACACTTTGTATTTCCTTCTCCCCATTTCCTCCATTGCATCGATAACTTTCCGTTTTTAATAAAACATTGCATGCCTTTCATTCATAATATTATTCTCTCACCCTCTCCTTAATGATTCCACTCCTTTTGTTTTCATTGTACTATCATTCATTATCAATTACACACAGGTAGGACCAATGAAGTGAGGCTCAGTCATTAAAAGGAACGAACGTAAGTTCTTCTTTCCTCTCCACCCAGGTCAAGTGAAGCATCGAATCAAAATGAACTTGCTTGGGTGAGGGAGCTAGCCCGTGGTTTGGGAAAACAACTCCAGAAGTGTGGCCGCAGTGTATTAATATCCAGTTTTGAGTTACAGTGCTCTCTATCAATGTCATTTCATAAACATACTACTTTGTGTTCTCTTTCTGTTTGCATTTTCGCTACTATGTCATTCTATCTTTCATTCCTGCTTTCCTGTCAATCCATGTATTTCTCTTCATTTCTCTATTTTGTTTTTTTCTCCCCTTTTGGGGGATTAATTTTCACCCTCCCTGTTTTTTCTTCCTTAACCCCCTCACTCACTCTATCCCTCTACCCTCCCATCTTCCCCCTTTTCTCTCTCTTTTCTCTCTCTCTCCCTCTGTATCTTTTCTCTAACTCATACATTTTCTCTCTCTCTCTTCTCTCTCTCTCCCTCTGTATCTTTTCTCTAACTCATACATTTTCTCTCTCTCTCTTTCTCTCTCTCTCCCTCTGTATCTTTTCTCTAACTCATACATTTTCTCTCTCTCTCTTTCTCTCTCTCTCCCTCTGTATCTTTTCTCTAACTCATACATTTTCTCTCTCTCTCTCTCTCTCTCTCCCTCTGTATCTTTTCTCTGACTCATACATTTCCTCTCTCTCTCTCTCTCTCTCCCTCTCTATCTCTTGTGTCCATAACCCCCCTTCTCTCTCTCTCTCTCTCTCTCTCTCTCTCTCTCCATCTTTCTATATTCATGTGTGACATATAGGAGAGTACCGGGTGAAATGAGCATTCAAGAGGAGAGGGCTCCCCTGTCGAACCCGGACCCACCCCGAGAGAAAGGCCGTTATGAGAAGGTTTAAAAACCGCGCCACACGGAAGCAAAAGAGTGCACCACTTTCACTTCATAAATTACTCTCCCATGCATGCGTCGATAAATAGAATGATGACTCAATAAGAAATGTGCGAATGGTTCTTAAGGAAGGGGAATTGTCTGATTTAGTTTGCCTGTCAAAAGAATATACAGAAAATGCACACCAAAATACCTACATCATTAGTTGGCAGAAAATGTAGAAATCCGCCTCCTCTTCTCCTCCCATGATGCAAACGCAACGTCACCTGTTAATTTCACCCCTCCCCTCTTAGTGTAGCTTAAAATGATCTTACCGTGATTTTTTGTTTCTTCTCTTCTTTTTCTATCTCTATTTGGCGCAAATGATATATTACAGTAGGGTGTGATTTACGTCACAAAGAATAACATATAACCAGATTCTCAAGAAAGTGTTGGGTTCTTTAAATGTTTTGAGAAAAATAATGACATTTTATGCATTTTGATGATGATGACGACGATGGTCATATAATGCTCTGACGCATTTTTGTTCTGATTTACCTAATTCATAGGAGAACTTGTGGCCTAAATGCAGTTTTCACAGCATTTCAAAAATAATGGATATTTTAAAATTATTTCATATATTACTGTAACAAAGACATGTTACTTACAGTTTTCTTCAGGCATGTGTTGATAATTATATTGATGCTTATCATAGTGGAAATTGGTATGATGAACCACATTATGATCGAGATTTTCAGATTTGTCTCTAGATGCTTAAAAAGGTATGAGCGGTTTTTTTAAAAAAGTTTTACATTAAACCATGAGTTGCGATTCATTTTATCGGAATATTTGTTTTATATTTATGCATGTGATTCTCGTTATGCCTTGACCAGTAGTTGGGTTTAGGTGTCATGTAACCTAACTAAAAAAAAAAACGAATTCAGTTCTATCATATGTTTATAGTTGTGTCAAATTATACTACCGTGACTTTAGTCTTTCTATGATATATTCATCTTACAATGTCTCATGCTTTTGTCCATGAAGAAAGATCGCAAAAGTAATATGCAATGATCATGGTTTAGGTACATACTAAATTTTTTAGAAATATTTATATTTGTTGGTGTTCTGTATACTTCATAACCATTTATGAGTACATGTTTAATGTATTTAAGAGAGTAAATAGCAATTGCTTTGAACTATTATTGATTGTATGGGATTGATACACTTTTTTTTTTGATGAAGAAAGTTTGTCACTCGATTGCGTCACTCGGTTGCGCTTCTCACCGGTTTTTAACATGATTTTTATACGCCGTTTTAATTTGTTTTAATGAATAGATAGGGCGGTACACGTCTTTGTTATTTGATGTACTTAACAGTATGATTTAGTCTTACTTAGTTTATTGTACTTTTGTCTTGCTTTTAAATTTTACTATTGCAAAACATAACAATAATGTTGTATCTTTATTCATTTTGTTCATGCATGGTGTCGATTCTCAACTATGATGACTATCTGGAACATGGTCAACATTTTAGTGTACAATGCGGCAACCATACGAGAATATTAGAGGACTATAGACTTAGCAACTTCTGATGATTATTTTGACAAAGAAATTTAGTTTTACGCATTAGGGAGCACAATCTTGTATATAGAGGAAGGAGATGTCATGGAAGAACTGTAAATTCATGGGTTTTTAGAGGACAATGCGTTATAAAGACTTACCTTCTCATTGGATTTATTAAAACATGTACTGTACAATGTTTACAGCAGACTGCATGAGTAACGAACGTCTTTAGCTAATTTTTCTTATTCAGAGCCTTTTTAAAATTTGCGATATATAATTATGTTCAATTAAGTAGGCAATACTCCGGAATTTTCTCTACGTACTGTTATTTATCCTTAAGATTATGTATATCTTTAATATATCTTAATATATAGAAAATATATGATGTATGCGTAGCTTTTAGTTATATTTTAAGAAAAATACACACTTTTCCATTAAAGAAAATCGAATTTTTATTTGATTTCTCGTCAAAATATGAAGTCAATGAGTGGCATCAAAACAACGAAACCATGGAGTGTTGAATAGTCAGTTGATTGATTGACTGTTTGGTTAGTTGGTTGATTGATTGATTGGTCGATGAGATTGATTGATTGGTTGATTGATTGGTCGATGAGATTGATTGATTGGTTGATTGATAGGTCGATGAGATTGATTGATTGGTTGATTGATTGGTCGATGAGATTGATTGATTGGTTGATTGATTGACTGTTGATTGATTGGTTGATTGATTGGTTGATGGATGAAATTGATTGGTCGATGAGATTGATTGATTGGTTGAATGATTGGCTGATGGATGAAATTGATTGATTGGTTGATTAATTGGTTGATGGATGAAATTGATTGGTTGATTGATTGGTTGATGAATGAAATTGATTGGTCGATGAGATTGATTGATTGGTTGAATGATTGGTTAAATAGTTGATTGATTGGTTGGTTGATAAGATTGATTGACAGACTAACTGAATGGTTAATTGATTAATTCAATTTTGATTGATTAATTTTGTATTGATTGATTGACTGACTTGGTGATTGATTGATTGCTTAATATTGTTGACTTATTGATGAATCGATTGACTAGTTGATTGGTTGATCAATTGATTGATTAACTAGTTGAGTAGTTTATTCAGGCGCGGATCCAGGATTTCCTAGGGAAGGGGGCCCAACTTTTTTTTTTTTTTTTGCTCCCGAAAATTTGAAAATCGCGCCGGCCGAAAAGTCGCTCAGTGGGGGGGGGGGGGGG